AGGTGCACCAGATCAAAGAGAAGGTGAGGAAGGGGCAGTCAATCTCGACTTGTTTTTTTCACAGCCCTGATTGGTGGGTCTTCAGCAGGACACTTCTGCTGCTTTCTCACCAAAAGAAAATAGGATTTCATGTGCGTCATGCCTCTGCCAACCCCAGTCCTTTTTACTTGGGCACCTCCAGGTGTCCTGCCCTTTTCCAGGGTTTTCTCTCTGTAAGATTTCAATACACCCACAGGAGAGATGGGGAGGGACTCTATCAGGGAGTGTAGTGATAGGATTTGGGGTAATGGTTTTAAACTGAAATAAGGGAGATTTAGGTTAGGTATTAGAAAGAAATTCTTTACTGTGAGGGTGGTGAGGCACTGGAACAGGTTGCCCAGGGAAGCTGTGGATGCCCCATCCCTGGAGGTGTCCAAGACCAGGCTGGATGGGGCTTTGAGCAACCTGGTCTGGTGGGAGGTGTCCCTGCCCAGGGCAGGGGGTTTGGAACTCAATGATCTTTAAGGTCCCTTCCAATTCTAACCATTCTATGATTCTATGATCAGAGTATGTAGGCACTCCATTTTAGGAGGTAAGAAATGCAATTATCTGTTCATCTACCAGAGTAGACATAACACAACAACATTAGAAATGCCAGGCCTACCTACCCCGATACTGTGGCTATAACCCAGGCCGAGGGCAGATGTCCAGGGAAGAGTGTAAATACAGAGTAGGAACACAGCAAATCTTCATTAGTGGTTCCCAGTGACAGGACGAGGGGCAACGGGCACAAGCTGGAACATGGGAAGTTTCATTCAAATCCCTTCCAACTCCAACAATTCTGTGATTCTGTGATTCCATGATTACTCCATCCTCCAGTTATTTGTGCTCAGGTGCTTCCTGAGCCAGAGGTGATGTGTCTTTCCTGGAAGATGAGATGTTTTGCATGGCTTGAAGGTGAGAAACATGTATGTGCTGACTGCGGTTTCTCATGTGCAGCGAGTCGCACGAAGCAAGAAGCCTCAGAGCTCTGCTAAATATACGATAAGCTGTTGATGCAAAACACAGCCAGGACCTGGTGTAGCATCTTGTAATGGTTGGTGAGACCTAGCAGAACATGATAGGTCACAGAAAGTTGAGAACAGTTATTTTGGACGGGCTTTGCTCAGCTGAAAGCTGCAGGACAGCTAAGAAACCTAATGCACTGAAACAGCTTGTCTCTCACAAACGTGTTCTCAGATGTCGCTCATCCTTGGCATCACAGCTACTTTTGGCCCTTTATAAATGCTTGAAAACTGCTGGATGTGATAAATAACTCTTAAATTCTGCTGTTTGAACCAACATCTCTATCACTGAAATTGCTCATCACAAATACTAGCAGAAAACGAACCCTGAAATGGTGTGTGTTTTTTGCAGATAACTCTTTTTTATTATTATTTGAATGAATATTTGAGATGCAGGTTAGGCTGCTCCAATCCTGCCCCAGTGTGGGACAACAACAAAGTGCTCTCAGGTAACCAGCTGCCTCTTTAGATAAAGCAGTACAGTTATGAATGCTAAACATGAGGAGGAATTTCTTTCCTGTGAGGGTGGCAGAGCCCTGGAAGAGGCTGCCCAGGGAGGTGGTGGAGTCTCCTTCTCTGGAGACATTCCAAACCCACCTGGACACGTTCCTGTGCAACCTGCTCTGGGTGGCCCTGCTTTGGCAGGGGGGTTGGACTAGATGATCTCCAGAGGTCCCCTTCCAACCCCATGGAATTCTGTGATTCTGTGATATGAGGCTGAGACACAAAGCATTACTGCTGAGCAGGACCCAGGCTCCTGAGTTGAAAGGCCAGACCTTCAAGAGAGGTGTTCAGCCCATGGCTTTTCTCTACAAGTGTGAATTCACGTCTATGGCTGCACTTTGCCAGTTGAGGCTTAGTGCTTGGCAGTTGACAGTCACTTGAGGGTGAAGGTCTCTTCAGCTTAGCTTCACCCCTGTGGCTGAGGTTGTATGCCAAAAGCCAAGAAAAAAAAAAAAAGCATGGCCCATGCAAGGAGCTTAAAAAGTCACAGGTATCCCCTTTCTGAGGCTCATTCCTGGGTGCTAAGGAGACTTGGAGCAGAGCAGGAAGGGAGGAGGCAAGGGAAGGAGAAAGAAACATTGGGAACCATGTGCCTACAGAATAACTCTTCTACCACTTCCTTCCTGCCCTGAACCATCGCCAGCTGCTTGCTGGCCAGACAGGTACCTCTGGGGGAAGCATACCTTCGCACAACGAGCTGCAAACAACAGGCGTAGGCAGTGCAGAAAGGAGGATATTCAAAGAAACACAGGGTCAAGAGAAGCACGCAAAGCCCAGGGGGAGGGGAGGAGAGCATGCCTTCAACCACTCTTGAAGGTTTTTTTTTGGCTAAGGCACAAGGGGTAGAAAGCTGCTGAGTAACCAAGATGGTGTGTCTGTGCCACCTCCTTCACGTGTGAGTTGCATCCACCTGCTGTGCTTCACCTTAGAAGGGGAGGTCTCCAAGACCGCTCCGTGGTGTGCAGGTGTACAGCAGCTCTCACATCAGTCAGATGTGCCCGAGTTGAGGACAAGCTCCCCTATGCCATGTCGCCGGTGAGGTCTGGGCAGAGAACCGCTGCTAACCCTGAAACCAACCCCCATTTTTATCCTCTCTGCACAGCGATTCGGTAGGTGGCCCAGAGAAGACCCCACCTCATTCACCAAGGGTGGCAGATGCCCAGAAGCAGCAAAAAAACTCACGTCACCACAAACCCTTATCACAACCATCACTTTTCTAAGTTACCACCAGCTATCACTACACTTTCACTGCTAGGAAAAAAGGGAAGTAACTTTGCACCCTCTCACGCAGAAACCTGCTGAGTTCCGTACCGTCTTCCCTCCAGGCAGCAGAGAGGAACCTTTTCTCCAGTCGTTCTTAAGATGGGACATTAAAAACTAAAGGAAACTTCAGATCCCCCCTGAGAGGACCTGAACATACACCCCCTGGACTCTAGACAGTCCGATTCTCAGATGTGGAGGGACATGGCCCTCTGGCAACTTATTTTGGCCCAACTAGCATGGCCACTATTGCCTGCTAACCCTCATCAACACGTCACGATGTGAGCGGAGCACAGTTTGCCGCAAGGGGAAGTGGAATGTAGTCACAGAGTGCGGTCGCACTCTCTGGTGTGCTCCTTACACACACACACACACAGCATTTTCTCAGTTCCTCTGTCTGTGGAGGCCCTTTCCAAACATCCTCACCCCAGAGAACAGCTTGGGCTGCCACCAGGGATGGGGATGGCAGGTCCTGCTGCCTCTGCCCTGTCTGCTCGCTTGCCAAGACGCCATCACTCAGAAGCTGCTGTCATTGAGCGGGCTCTGATGGTGTTGGGGTACTTGCTGGAAATGACAACCTCTCAGCATGGGCCAGGAGAACCTCTCTTGGTGTTATGCCTGTGGCTAGCACCACGCTGCTGTGAGGGTCTCTCAGGCTAAAGCAACCTGTGTCCAGGTTGACCTTAAGCTCTAGGGATCTTGCATGGCGAGTGCTCTGTCAGGCATTCAGGGTGGAGCTGCTTACACCACCCCAGGGACTGCTCCTGCCCACACAGAGGGGAGAAAGGTCCCCTCCAGCTTGCCCGCCCTTACAGAAGTGCAGGACGCAATCCCACAGCTTCCCCTTGGTCTGCTTGAGACGGGCCCAAATAAGCAACAAAGAAGCTTTTTGAGGCTGCTAAAAGCTAACTTCTCCCCTGCCTGAACTCAGGGTTAAAGAAATTCCTCATACACAGTGTGGACCAAGAAAGCCCACATCCCTCCTCTCTCTGAAGGGACTCTATCTCTGTCAACACATCTCCTTCTGGAGTTAGCTGACTGTTCCCTGGAGTAGCTGTCCAACCCATAAGAGAATGACCAAAATATTAGACCAGACAAGACCTTTTTTTATCAGGGATGTTATACCGTGGACACCTTCAACTCAAAAATACAGCAAAGCCCAATTTTTGTGGGCACCCACCTCCATATTCTTCTCTTCACTTGGAGAAGACTTCTGCACGAAAATCATTGTATGACTTTGCAAGAAATGCTTCTCCTAGCACTACTTAACACTAACCAAATGCCAGGTCTGCTCTTGCGTACGGTTATCTTGGAACGGTGGAGTTTTTTGTGACCACACCTGTTAAAGAGCATTAATTTTCTTCACCTCTATTTCTTAAATGTGTGTATATTCTTCTCTTTGGTCTTGTTTCTTTCCTCTGACTGCCCTTACTTCCTTTTTTTTCCCAGAGGCATCAAACAGATGTGGCAGGCAGTTTCACTGGCTTGCTATGGCGGGTGTTATAAAAGTTTAGATTCTTCAGCTGCAGCTCTTCTTTAAGAGGAGGGAAGTATGAATTAGCTAGATCTGGACCACTATATTGTTAACACCGTGTCTAACCACTATATTGTTAACACCAGTGGCCAGATTCCACTGGTGGCTGGGCAGTCTCTGACGCAACAACTACCACCACCCTCCTCAGACCATTCTCCTCCCTACCCCCATCTGACCGACAATAAATGACAGCTTCTTTCGGAAGTCTGCCTCTGAAATCTCTCCTGCATTCGTTTTTGGTTACTCAGTTTGAAAAAAACCCAACAACAACAACAACAAAAAAAAACCTGAATTGAAGACTAACGCCCTCAGTTTCCTCTGGGAAGTGACTTTAGGAATACATCAGCCACTCTGTCTTACTTATGAGGCAGCCTGGTTTAGGGACAGTCCCCGATACCCTGTTTCAGTGACTAGGCATGCTGTAGTCAAGAAATTCCTTGTGAAGAAAGGCATTTTTTTCCTGGAAGTAAATCAGACCCGACTCCCAGGGGACATTACAGGAGATCTTGGAAAACTTCCCTGTCTTAGATGATTCCCCAAGGAAACATCCCATTTGCTGCCCTGACGTGTCCTGTTGGCACCTACGGGGCCATAACCTTTATTGACACATTTTTAAGTGATGCAGATACTAACTTTCCACTTTTTCTTATGATTCTCAGGAAACACCAGCTGGAAAAAGAATAATGGAAAATTGTATAAATGATACCTCCACTTGCCCAGGAATTCCCTATAAAGACAGCAAGACACTTCTGGTTGCTGTTTACAGCATCGTTTTTGCCATAGGCATTCCAGCAAATTGCTTAACTTCCCTGCTTACATTTGTACAAATCCAAAGGAACAAAGTAATTGCCATCTACATTTTCAGTTTATCATTGTCTGAGCTGATGTATTTAAGTACCTTGCCTTTCTGGATTATCTACGTGCAAAATGACCACTGCTGGCAAATGCATATGCTGACTTGCAAAATAACAGGATTCATCTTTTTCTGCAACATATACAACAGCATTCTGCTGTTGTGCTGCATTTCTGTGGATCGTTACGTGGCACTGGTGTATGCTCTGGAATCAAGAGGGAGAAGAGGACAGAAACTGGCAATCATAATAGTGTGTCTTCTCTTTGCTGTAGTTGCAGTAGTCCACAGTCCAGTATTTACCATGGAACAACATCCGAATAGGACCTGCTTTGAGACCTTGCCCCTTAACAAAACATTGGCTTCTATAGGCATTGGTAGATTCCTGCTTGGATTTGCCATACCCTTCATAACCCTCATTTTCACAAACTACAAAATTTTCCAAAGTACAAAGAAAAGCAGCAGCTTGACTTGTCACCAAAAAGTCAAAGTGAAGTACCTGGCTATTGTGATTATTGTCATTTTCCTGATATGCTTTGCTCCCTACCATGTGGTACTCTTAATAAGATCCATATACTTTTTGTTTCATCAAAACTCCTCATGTCCATTTGAAAAAGATATATATTCAGTTTTTACAGTGTTTCTGTGTTTAGCCACTGCAAACAGCGTTGCTGATCCAATCATCTATGTGCTGGTTAGTGAAAATGTCAGAAAAGACTTTTCTAGAGCTCTGAGAAGATGGAGATTGAACTCAACCAGGCTGAATTCATCTGTTAATCACAAGACTGAGAGCACAAAACTGAAAGCGTCGAAAGAATTCCAGGAAGGAGGGCTAAGAGAAGAAAACAAAGAAATATCAGATTCGTGTGATATTCAAAAGACCTCTCATAGTGGCGAAGACCAAAAAGGTGGCAGCTAGCAGTTGGCTGCTGACAGAAATAAGAACTTGCCAACACCAGCTGGGATGCCACAGGAGTGACACTTCTTATTGCTGTTTGTCTCCTATAATAAAGTTTGTCCACCAGTATCACTGGTGAAAATATTGTTTTGCTAAGGGTACGTGGAGTAAACTAAGTCATCCAACTCCAACAATTCCGTGATTCCGTGATTTACTTTGACTGAAAGTGAAATCTTAAAAGCATATTTTTTTTGGACTAGCTCTTTTCCTTATATGAATTCAGAACCAGTTTTATCTTCTGAGCTGGACAAAAAAAAAAAAAATGCTTGCTGAGGAGAACAATGTAGGGCCCATTCTTATGGTTGAAATTTTCAGTTCTTGAGAAGGTACGTGTTCAGGTTCTCATACACATACTCTCTTGTTAACGTTTGTGGTTAACCAGTGGAAAATATTAAAAACGAGGAAGTCTTTCAACAGGAGCCTTGAAAATGTTCCTAATACTTCAGTATGCAGCTTTATCTACCTTGCATATTCTGGGGACAATTAGAGGGCAAAACAGTGGCCTAGTAATGGAGACCAACAGTACCTCTCCTCTATTAGTCAAGATACTGCACTGTCCTGAAATTCTTAAAATGTACAATTCTAATGCTTTTACAATTAGTAGGTTCCCTTCTCTGGAGATTTTCAAGACCTGCCTGGAGGCTGACCTGAGTAATGTGCTACAGGCAATCCTGCTTTGGCAGGGGAGCTGGACTAGATGATCTCTAGAAGGTCCTTTCCAACTCCAACAATCCCGTGATTCCGTGATTTTATTTGTTTTGCAGTTAAATCCGGAGTGCACTGAAGTATATAGTAAATGTATACATTTCTGAGTGGTGCCCCAGAACTGGTTTTATGCCACCTTCGAATGAACTTGTTGAACTTGTATTTCATTGCTGACTAAGCTAACACTTCCCCTTTGGGATTGACCAACCTTTTAGTGCACAGGGGTCTGTGCAAGTGCTCAGTTTCTTACTGACAAGGAAAGGCTGGTTGCCCAGGGGAGTTGTAGATGCCCCATCCCTGGAGGGGTTCCAGGGCCCGGCTGGATGGGGGTTTGAGCAAGCTGGTCTGGTGGGAGGTGTCCCTGCCCAGGGCAGGAACTGGATGATCTTTAAGGTCCCTTCCAACTCTAACCATTCTGTGATTGATTCTATGACGGAGGACACTGCCCCTTCTCCCCATAGATGGGAACTCCCTCAGACACACCGGTGCCGCACATGTGAAACTATGCTGGGGCCCATCTCATTGTTGCTGCTGCTGCTTTCGCTATGAGTAAATTATTGATGGTAGTTTCCTGTGCCTTCAAAGCAGAAATTAAAAAATACGAGCCATACAAGTATGGCAAGATTTGTCCAAATGGCTTCTTCATATTTTTATGTGATCCAAGTCAAACAGATAAAGATCATGAATCAGTTGGATGTGTATTTGAGCACGAGTTTGTAAAGGGTTTCACAGCCTCATTCTGCTTCATCTGTAATGTTGTACTTCTGTAATATTTTTAAATTGTCATTAATGTTACCATTCTCGAATCTAACTAACATTAGCCAATGGTAATGTAAATATAGCATTTGTTAATGTTTTTTAATTGTCACAGGTATTTCTGTATATTATGCTTTATTCTTACACGCTTTTGCAAAGAAGCCTTGTGTCAAAATGGCATTTCCTCAAGTTATTGTATTTATGACATATTTAATTTTTGTATTATTAAATGACTCCTCTGGCATCTACCTATGAAAGGTATCCTCAAAAGCAGTTCACATAATACTGAACCGAATAGGAAAAACGTGATACTCTGTTGTGATGCTAATTAACAAACTGCAGGTTTGTATTTTCATATATATATCAGAGATCAAACTCTCTAAGGCATCAAGAACAGCTCTGCAAAGTGCTGTATATCTGTAGCTTTGCTGAAAATCAAACTTTCTATTACTAAAAAAATCATCAGCAGGCATTGCTCGTAACAGCCCAGTCAGCTGGACTGATTAATCAGTGAAGGCACTGGTGATTAATCTCTGAAGACACATCTGCAAGCTGCCCCAACCTCAGGATTTTCGTAGTCTAAATGCAAAAGGCTGATGAGTAAGAGCAGTGAATTTAGAAGGAACCAAAGATATAGACTTCTGAACTGATTGAAATGGATGGAAAGTAGATATTCACCTCAGTGAATTTTGAAATCCCTCTGATGTTTTTCCTCTGATCAAACATGTGTGTCTTTAGAGCAATCAATATTGGAGCCCAGGGCTGGAGGTATAGGGGACAGGGATTAGCAGGGTCTGATACAACATCTATAATTCTCTTGCCTTGCCTAATTTACATGCTGTTCTAAATTACTACGCCATTATGCGTCTTCTTAATGAAAATCCTTGGAGCTTCTTTGTTCAGATGCACACTGAAATAAAAGCCTCACCCCTAAAGGGGGTGACAAGACCCTGTACATCTTGGTCCAACTTTGAAGATGGCCCAGACGATTTCCAGCTGCACTTTCCAAACTGAACTACTCTGTGACAGGGATTAGGGGCCAGGTACCAACCAATGTATCCATGCGAGAAAACTGCAAATCCTGACTTGTTTGTATAAATGAAAAAGCAGCTTTAGGTCTGAGTGAGGACATCACAAAATGTTATTTCCGTGTTGTTAAACTATCCCATCAGATAAACTGGCTGTTTCTCATCTATAGCTGGTCCAATTTAATCCCTGGGATCACGTACAATCCAATGCTGAATTTCTGTTGGGTAGTGAGTGGTGAAACCGAACTCAGATCCAGGCTTTCAAGAACGTCCCCAATCTAATACACTTCTTTGTGAGCATGTTGTCACCCTACAGGTCACACTGCGGGATTAGTCATTTAGGAAACTTTCTCCATATAGTGAAATGACACCAAAGTTGCCTCACAGATTGAAATACCTGTCTTATTTTCAAACCAACACAAACCAAGTTAGCAAATATGGGGGGGGGGGGG